GAGAGAGAGAGAGAGAGATGAAAGTTGCGTTGATGCGCGTCTGTGAGTTTGTCTTTTTAGAGTGAATTTACTTCAAAAACAGCTATTTTATCCTCTTGTTGCTGGAAATGTAGCGATTCAGTATTTAAACTGTTATTAATAAAAGTCGTGGGGCAGCGTTGACACGTTTCTTTTCTCCTGGATGTGTGAGCTGCGCGATATCCGATGTGTGTGTGTGTGTGTGTGTCTGTCAGTAAGCAGTGCATTAATATAGAATGGTAATTAAAGGCTCTAATGCACACCAGCACACCAGTATATGTGTATTGTAGAAGCTAGAAGATGTATAATGACGTGTGACGGCATAGTAGTGGTGTCCCAATTCTTAGGCCAATATTTTCACTAGGGGTATGCACTTATAAGTCTGCGATCCTCCGTAAAGCAAGAAGAAGAAGATGCGTCACGCCCCGGCTGTGTCGAGGACGTACTCAGGAGAGAGAGAGAGAGAGAGAGAGAGAGAGAGAGAGAGATGAAAGTTGCGTTGATGCGCGTCTGTGAGTTTGTCTTTTTAGAGTGAATTTACTTCAAAAACAGCTATTTTATCCTCTTGTTGCTGGAAATGTAGCGATTCAGTATTTAAACTGTTATTAATAAAAGTCGTGGGGCAGCGTTGACACGTTTCTTTTCTCCTGGATGTGTGAGCTGCGCGTGTGTGTGTGTGTGTGTGTGTGTGTGTGTCTGTCAGTAAGCAGTGCATTAATATAGAATGGTAATTAAAGGCTCTAATGCACACCAGCACACCAGTATATGTGTATTGTAGAAGCTAGAAGATGTATAATGACGTGTGACGGCATAGTAGTGGTGTCCCAATTCTTAGGCCAATATTTTCACTAGGGGTAGGGGTAGGGGAAGGGGTATAAAATAGAATTGGGATTGGGCCTTAATCTGCACATGCTCATAGGATTCTCTTTCTGCCTGTGGAAAAGGAGCATGATCATTTCACCTCAGCAGAAGTTTTCATCAAAATACTGATTTTGAGGTATAAAAGTAAATTTTTGGATGTACAGTATTTTTTTTCTTCTGTTTGAAGTTTAGAGGACCGTGAATTTAAACTTACATAAATTTTATCTCTAGGCTATTGATAAAAAATTAACATGAACAACCTATGCTAATATAGGTGTGTCTACGTAGCATACAAGATTTTATCATAGCTGCAACATCGGGGGCAATTGTAATAATGTGTTACAATTGCCCCTGAGCCACATGGCTCAGTGTAAACACCTTGTTTGTCTGTGTTGACATATTTTTCTGTTAGAAAATGAACATATTTAAATGTAAAACTACATTTAACAATTATTAGTGTTACACATTAAACAATGTGTTGGTTTTAAATCTTTTTTAAAAATACAATGAATATTATCTCCACATGATCTTATTCTGTTAATATGTCTGGTTTGGTTAAAGACAGTTCTTGACTCATCAGCTGATTGATGTATATGAGTAAAATATATATTTAAATAATTAAAATCTAGTTACCACTAGAGTAGCTGCCTTATCTTTTGCAAAAATAAAAAATAGACTTTTGCTTTTTGAATGCATATGATGCCTAACATCCAAAAGAATTTGAACCATTTACAAAAAAAAAATAAAAAATTGATACTACAGCAGTAAAGTGATTACTTTGAAGTAGGATTTTATTTGAGATACAGTGGGTTAATGACTTATTTTTCAGTGTCCCCAAACACTGTTACAATCGCCCCCACTAAGGGGGCAATTGTAACACTCTGAATTCTTGCATTTAAAGGGATAGTTCACCCAAAAATGAAAATTTGATGTTTATCTGCTTACCCCCAGGGCATCCAAGATGTAGGTGACTTTTGACGCTTTTCCACTGCATGGTACAACTCGGCTCGGCACGGCTCAGTACGGCACGGCATGGCTCAGCTCGGCTCAGCTCGGTTTGCGTTTCCACTGCAGTTTAGTATCCCTTTACAGTGGGCGGGATTATTCACATGTCGTTAGTTGCGCCGCCTATACTGCCGTGACTCCTGAAAAACTTTTTCATTCCGCGTCACCCCATCAAGCTCTCGCTGGATCCGCTCCTCTGCTATCAATGAGAGGAACGTCTGTACTTCCTCAACAGACAACGAAACAGCCACTTTTTGGTTGTTAAAAAAAGGTGCGCTCATTCAAAACAGTTGTGTTCGATCCTTCGCTGGCTGTGCTGATTTAAATCTAGCGGTTCTGTTGTGTTTGCGTAGCAAGTTCAGTGACGCAGGTGACGATTCAGTGACGATTCTCTCCGGCCAATCCGTGATCAGCAGAGTTTACACGTCACGTTTTGGTAACAGTACGGTACTCAATTAGGAGTGTCAATGGTCCATTTGAGAGATAGGTGGCGGTAATGCACTTATAAGTCTGCGATCCTCCGTAAAGCAAGAAGAAGAAGATGCGTCACGCCCCGGCTGTGTCGAGGACGTACTCAGGACAGTTCAGACATTGCAGTGCATCAGAGGTAAAAAACGATATAAATACTGTTCAGTTTCTTGCACAGACCAATCGTTTCGTGTCTTTACACATCAATGTATCGTCACGAGCCGCAGGGTTTAATTAGGTTTTGTTTGTGTATGTTTTTTTTTACTCTCAAAGCTGTGATTCCCATTCACTTCCATTATAAGACTGACAGACTGCAACGGTTTGAGTTAAAAATCTTCGTTTGTGGTCTACTGAAGAACAAAGTCACCTACATCTTGGATGCCCTGGGGGTAAGCAGATAAATATCACATTTTAATTTTTGGGTGAACTATCCCTTTAACTTAATATAATAGTAGTCGTGGGGCAGCGTTGACACGTTTCTTTTCTCCTGGATGTGTGAGCTGCGCGATATCCGATGTGTGTGTGTGTGTGTGTGTCTGTCAGTAAGCAGTGCATTAATATAGAATGGTAATTAAAGGCTCTAATGCACACCAGCACACCAGTATATGTGTATTGTAGAAGCTAGAAGATGTATAATGACGTGTGACGGCATAGTAGTGGTGTCCCAATTCTTAGGCCAATATTTTCACTAGGGGTAGGGGTAGGGGAAGGGGTATAAAATAGAATTGGGATTGGGCCTTAATCTGCACATGCTCATAGGATTCTCTTTCTGCCTGTGGAAAAGGAGCATGATCATTTCACCTCAGCAGAAGTTTTCATCAAAATACTGATTTTGAGGTATAAAAGTAAATTTTTGGATGTACAGTATTTTTTTTCTTCTGTTTGAAGTTTAGAGGACCGTGAATTTAAACTTACATAAATTTTATCTCTAGGCTATTGATAAAAAATTAACATGAACAACCTATGCTAATATAGGTGTGTCTACGTAGCATACAAGATTTTATCATAGCTGCAACATCGG